CTGGCCTTCACATTTTCCATCAAGGGCTTTTTCCAACCTCTTCCCTAGAGAGTGTGCATCCTGATCTTCATCACTGCTGGCATTCAGCTTCTCCAGCTCCACAGCTCATGAAGTCACTCAACCACATCCTCACCTCCCACCATTCTCTTTCCCACACCTTCATCCCCTTCTCTCTTTTCCCTCAGCACCTGGAGAGTTGGGCTCTGCCTTCTGTTGTTCCAGGGCCTCATGGAGGGTGGGGCTAGTTTGTGGACATCGCTCCCTGGCTTCTCTCAGCCTCTTCCATGACTCCTTCTCTATGGCATTGTCCATCTGCTCCCTTTCCTCTTCTCCCTATGCTCCACCTTCTAGCTCAGAGGAGAGAGTGTCCCCTGTTGCTTTTTCAGTCAGGTCCTGGGCTATCATTGTGGATCTCAGTTCACATTCCTGTTGGGGGAATCAGGGCCAATAAATGAAATGTTTATCTAATTGCTCCAGGACATTCTCAGAGTCCCTAAGCCAGACTCGCTCCCAGAGATGCCTGTGAAAGCTGTCATGAACAGTGGCCAGATCCTGTCCCTTCCAGACACTAACAGACAGGCTATTGCCAGGGGCCAGGATGACCGAGTACATCGTCCCGTAATGCTGTCTTCATTTCTGCCAAAACTCTGAGTCTTGCTTCTGATTTTGAAAAAAACATAACTGTTGATTTTCTAGTGCATCCTAGACATGTTGTCTGACACGGGCTGCCCACTTCCCATGAAAAAGCTGCAGTTGGGTCCCCTCAGTTGGCCAAAGAGCTTCTTGTGAGAAGTTTCTTTGCCTAATTATTTTTAAAAACTTTGTAAGTCCATATTAATTTTTTGTCATTATGCCTTTTTTTATAATATAATTCTCAAATGAAGAAGTATAACTGAAGGATTAGGTCCTAGAAATGGAATTCCTGAGTTAAAGTGCAATAACTTAGTGATTGTGACAGATTTTGCCATGTTCTTTTCCTGCTTTTTCCTACCAGAAGCCTGGTGGTTAAAGGGCCATTGTATTTACATGGAATTTAAGCCAGATTTTCAAGGGGGGCAGGATCTAGGGGGAAAAAAAAGACAGGTGGGTCCTGATAGCTTTCTATGGTGTCTGTGCCAAATCAAGCGTGATGGTCACCAGGTTTATTCTATGACACTGAGTTCTTTTATGTTTCTGGAACTCTCCTAGGCCACTCCTTGTAGCACATGAACTTCCTTGCTGAAGGGATCAAAATGGCAACATTTTCTCAAGTCTTATTGATGTGGCAACACTTAGCCAGACGTCTGTCTCTATAAATCATCACAAAGGGGCTGAGGATGGCATGTCCAAGGATTAGAAGCTCTTGGAAATTTAAGAGTATGAAATTATTCTTCAAGGAGTAATTTACACATAAAGTAATAATAGAATCTGTCCAATAAAAGAAAAGAAAACAAAGCAACAGAAGGAGAATGCTTTGAGCGGCTTTGATCTCAGGGGGCGTGGTGCAGATGCACTTGGTAGAGTTCCGCAGGTAGAGCGCATGCTTGTGGTGCTTGTGTAGAAGGAACATGATGTAGAATGTACAAAAAAAAATGCCACTGAGAGTAAGCCATCGTGTTACCTTGCTTTGTGACTGAGCATGACAATAGTAATGATTTTCAATCACTTGTGATCCGTTTCTGCTGCTTCCTGTGATGATGTCGAGTAAATCCATTTTTATCAAGGTGTTGAACACCCAGAAGAAGAGCAGAAAGTGAAGGATGTGCCGAACTGCCTTTGGTTGGTG